CAGTGAGCAGGATGTAGCAACCATTTTGAACTCACTGGTAACATATATGCGTATCAGAGGATGGGAAATAAATCTAAACAAATTCAAGGGCTATCGCCCTTAGTGAAATTCTTAGGAGTCCAGGGGTATGGGGCATGCAAAGATGTTCCTTCTAAGGCAAAGCATAAGTGATTGCACCTGGCCTCTCCTACCATCAAGAAGAAAGTACAGCCTTTAGTAGATCTATTTGGATTCTAGAGACAGCTCACCTGGGTATATTACTTTGCCCCATATACTAAGTGACTTGGAAAGTTGCTAACTTTGTGTGGGGCCTGGAACAGGAGAGACTCTTCAACAGGTCCAGGCTTCTGTGCACGATGCTCTACCACTTGAACTATATGACCCAGCAGACTCAGTGATACTTGAGGTATCAATGACCAATAGGGATGCTGTTTGGAGCCTTTAGCGAGCCCTCTTAGGTGAATTACAGAAGAGACTTTTGGGATTTTGAAGCAAGGCTCTACCATCATCTACAGACAACCATTCTCCTTTGGAAGACAGCTCTTGGTCTAATATTGGGCCTTAGTGGAAACTGAACATTTGACAATGGGACACCATGTTTCCATGCTACCTAAACTTGCCATCATGAGCTGAGTGTTGTTAGACCCACCAGGTCATAAGGTAGGATGTACACAGCATCAATCCACAATCAAATGGAAGTGGTGTATACATTTTTGGGCCTGAGCAGGTCCTGAAGCCACAAGCAAGTTACACAAAGATGTTCCCTAAATATATATGGTTTCTAATCCCGTTAAAATGCCATCTGGTGCCAAGTATGCACCTATGACTGATTGACTGAGGAAGAGAAGACTAGGGTCTGGTTTACTGATGGTTCTACCCACTATGCAGACACCACCCAGAAGTGGACAGCTGCAGCATTACAACTCCTGTTAGGGAAAACCCTGAAAGACACTGGTGAAGGAAAACCTTGACTTTTGGCAGAGCTTTGGGCATAACATATGGTCATATATTTTGTTTGGAAATAGAAATGGCCTGATGTGTGATTGTTCACTGATTCATGGGCTGGAGTCAATGAATTGACTGGATGGTCAGGGACATGGAAAGAGCATGACTGGAAAACTGGTGAGAAAGACATCTAAGGGTAAAGTATGTGGGCAGATCTCCCCAGATGTGAAGATAATTGTGTCCCATGTAAATGTTAATCAAAAGGTGACTTCCACTGGGAAGTTCAATAATCAAGAAGACAGGATGGCCCAGTCTGTAGACGTGGTCTTCTTTCCCCAGACATTCCTGTCATTGCCAGATGGGCCCATAAACAAAGTGGTCATGGTGGCAGAGATGGGAATTATGTGTAGGCTGGACACTATGGACTTCTACGCACCAAAGTTTACCTGGCTACAGCTTCTGTTGAGCGCCAGATCTGCCAACAGCAGTGACCAACAATGAACTGCAGATATCAGACCATTCCCTAGGGTCAGTAGCCAGCAACTTGGTAGAAGGTTGACTACATTGGACCACTTCCTTCGTGAAAAGTTAGTCCTCACTGGAGTAGACACTTATTCTGATTATGGGTTTGGCTTTCCTGATAGTAATATTTCTGCCAAAACCACCATCTGTGGACTTATAGAATGCCTTATCCACCAACATTGTATTCTGCACAGTACTACTTCTGACCAAGGAATTCACTTCACAGTCAGAAAGGTACAAGAGCAGGGCCATAATCTTGGAATCTATTGATCTTACCCTGTTCCCTACCATCCTGAAGCAGCTGGCCTGATAGAAAGATGCAATGGCCTTTTGAAGACACAGTTACAATGTCAATTAGGTGGCAGCAGCCTGGAGGGTATGTCTTTCATCCTGATCTTGAGGCTCAAAGACACCCCTTTAATCTGGGTCCCACCTGCTAGAAGCCTATATAAGAAGATGCGAGAAGGAAGCTTCTGTTCTTTGCCTGCTCACCATTGTCTTGATAGAAGTCCCGCTCCTTCACTGACATTCAAGCCTACTTATGTAGGATCCCAGCATACACTGAAGACCACCTGAGACATTCAGCCTTTTGTACTGAGAAACTAGTGGACTGTTGAACTTTCCATGCATAGCCATTCCTGGATTAGTTGGACCGCAGCCTGTAATTCTAATAATCTCTCTGTACATACAGAGTGATTCATTCTAAAAGTTCTGTTTGTGTAGAAAACCTAGTACAACACACCTTTGTGCTATTTATTGTGTTTTTTAACTGAAATAACATGACACCTTCCATCTTATATATCACCTGAGAGTTCCCCTACATTTGAATCCTGCATTTCATCAAATTAATAGACAATTATTGAATTGTAACTCAATGGAATATACTCTTAGTTTTAGCTGAATCTTCCCTCCCCTCTTTTTCCCCCCTCTCATACACACAGAGAACCATTTTTATGTACATGATTATGATAAAGGCATGCATTCTACGTTTTCAGCTTTCTTGACTCTTTAAACTTAAATCATAATTCAAAGTTAAGCAAACAATGGATCACAAATCAAGTATATTCTCATTCTCGTATTCATATTCTGCCTCTCCCCCAGCCTCTCATTTACCTCAGGCTGTCTTCAAACTCACTGTGTAGCCTACTGACCTTGAACTCTGGATCCTTCTGCCTCTACTTCTAGAATGTTGGAACTGTAGGCCAATACATCATGCCAGCTATGGCTTTACTATTCTTGCTTTGCTAAAGATTGTTTGTTTGTTTGTATGTGTGTGCAACTCCATGAGCTTATGTGTACCATGTGCATGCCTGGTGTTTGGGAGGCCAGCAGAGGGCTTGGATCCCTCTGACTGGAATTACACAATGTGAGGGTTGATAAAAATTCCTACTTTTCTGCAAGAGCAGTGAGAACTCTTAACCACTGAGCCACCTTTTATCCCCTTGCTCTCTAAATCAAGTTTTATTGGCTCACAGTCATCCAGGTGTGTATGAGTGCCACCTGTCTATAGTGGGAATGCTCTGTATGTCGTTGCCACCAGAACTGAATCACAGAGGCACAAAGAAGGCTGCCTTACTTTCTGGCTGTAGGAAGAAGAGATCTGCTAATCCCTGCTCCACACTAGTGTTTTCCAATCTTGTTTTCATTATCATTTCCCCAAGGAGCCTTTGAGGCTTTTTGTTCTAAGACACCCTGTGCTGTGAAATTCATGAGTTGAATCTGTGATCCACACAGGAATATACTAAGATTCTCTTTCATTCCCTAAAAACAAATTTTACCCTGTTGGCTGCAGCATTACCCCTGATGAGAAGGGATGCTTGATTCCAGAGTGTCTCGATTTTAGCACTATTGGTGTTTTAAAGTGTGTAATCTCTGTTGTGGGAAGCTGTCCTATCCACCATGGGATTTTAACCTCATGCCTGATCTCTGCCCACTAGATGCAAACAGCACTCCTTCATGGGGTCTATAAGAGCCAAAACTATCTCCAGACAAGATTAACTGTCCCTATCCCAGCAAAGTATCTTATTTTCTTTATACATATTAATTAGGTGGCTAATTAAGTGGAGTGCTAAGGATTGAAACTGTCATATAACAATCAAGTCTTCCACCACTGAGATATATATCCTGGCATCTTGACTTCCAGGTGTTGCCGCCTCTCAATGATGTTGCCACAGACTGATATAAGCAGCTGTGTTCTATCCAGCCAGGTTTTCCACCAGGTGAAGATGTAACTAACATCACTGTAATGGCCATGAACTTATATTTAACTGTGTCAGGACTTCTTCCTGTCACCCTCATCAACATCAAGCAATGAAAGCCCTAGAAGCCCTCATTTTCAAGCACTCTGTACCTCACTTTGTGTTTTATTAAATCAGTCACAAAAACTTTGACCCAAGGTCCTAAAGCCAGAAAGTGATGGTCAATCACCCACATAGTTTAGCATGTTTGCAAAACCAGAATCATGGTGCAAAATTGGCACCTTTCACTGTGTTATACCTCCACAGTCATCAAAGCTCTCTCTTCATGGTAGTCCAGCATATGCTCCCATCCCCAAGGTATGGCTCTGAAAACTTCACTTCTTGCAAGCTTTCTCTGAGTCATAAAACATCACCCCTTTGTCAGAGGGATAAAATGACCTCCGAACTCAGATTTCCAAGACCCAGGTCATCATTCAGTCTCCGACCCTCCACATGGGATGCCCAGTAAGAACCTTCTTAGACTCTAACTCAACATACTGGAAACACTACTGGCTCATGCAACAAATGATATTCAGTAGCGACATCAGGCAGGATTGTCTCTAGGGCTTTTGACATTCTCAGAATTATGCCATTTCCCAGAGTCTGGCTTCAGAGTCCGTCTGGTATGCTCTTACCTAGAAGAGCCTAGCCACAAAAGACAAAGAAATAGAACATCTGAATTCATAGTTTCCACCATCACGTATGCACTGTCAAAGCACTCAAAATTTGGACATTATGTTCACAGTAAATATGTGAGAGAAAATATTTCTCCAAGAAAAACAATGAAAATAAAATTAAGATATTTGTATGAATCATCACGTAATTTAAAATTGCTAAAATGTGTGAGCCTGTTATTTGCTGGCCTGCCCTTTGCTTTAATTTAATGGCACCAAGGTACCCATCCCATCCTTCTTTAGATGCCATTCTTAGACCACAGTCACAGAATAAGTCATTTTACCAGAAGTACTTGATGGTTTATCAGTTGTCTCAAGAACTTTTATGGATCTTTTGATAATTGTGTGTTGGTTGCAGATGGTAAACTGTTGTATTTATTTCCTGTCCTTTCACTGGCTGTGTCATGTGTCCATAGTATATGTGTAGTACACACAGTTACATATCTTCACTTTCTCAGACACCATGGAACCTTGCTGTGCACAAACTGACATTCCAACTGCTTACATTGTGGGATATCTCTAAGCCTCAATGATTGGGACAAAATCTAATGATGGTAACATTATGATCTATAGCAGAGCCAGTAGACAATAATAAAAAAAACAAATCTTGCCCAATCCTTGGTTTTGGAAAATAGAGTTTTATTGATACACAACCATGTTCCTTCTTGCATATAGTATGTGACTACATATCACAACAGCGAAGTCAAGTAGTTGTAAGGGAATTTTTACAGGCCATTCAGTTCAACACATTTATTTCCTGTCTTTTCAGGAAATTATTTTCAACTCTCTGGGCTGCTACAACTGCCAAGCTATCATAGATGTCACATGGTTGTTGAATTCATAAGGAATTAATCCATCAATAAAGGTTCTGAAGAATGAGTTTGTTTTCATAATAACTCCTAGGAATAGACAAAACTACAGTTAGCATTCATGTAAGAAGCATCTCTCACTCCTAAGAACACCTTTTATTGGATCTATAAAATAGTGTATGGTATATTTCTTTATTCGCCAATAAAAATCAAAGATTCAAAGCAAAGATTGGTAGCAGAATCCTCTAACACCAGCACTCCATAGGAAGAGGCAGGTGTATTTCTGTGAGACTGGTCTACAGAGTGAGTTTCACTACATCCAGTGCTACAAAGATAAACCCTGTGTTAAAAAAGCGAACAACATCAACAACAAAAGACTATTAATCATCCTTTAATCCCAGAACTCAGGAGGCAGAGGCAGGTGAATCTCTGTAAACTGAAACCCAGCCTGGGAACAAAGCAAGTTCCAGGACAGCTCGGGCTATGCAGAGAAACCTGTCTTGAAAAACAACAAAACAGAACAGAAAATTAAAGATTTATTTTATGGTCAATGAATTTCCATGAGATAAGACAAACTAAGAACTTGGAAATAGCCAGACTCTTATGAGCTATTTTCAAAGACTCCTTAAAATTTAGAGCTTATTAAACCATATAAACAAAGGGATTATGGGTCTTCCTTAATAATAAAACTCTTATTTAGTTATATACTTATTAAATGGCTTTTGATTTTAGAGGGTGAATAGCTCTATGTTACAATTTCTTCCAGAAATTACAATAGTAATTTTGAACAAATGATATTTACATGTATCTCAAATCACCACAGTTCTGACCAATGATTTAATTTTATTATTGTCATTTGAATGTTAGAAATGAACCTGGGGAAAAGGACAAAAAAAGTGTAAGACCCTGTGAGAGAAAGTACTTACTATGGCAACTTGAAGGGAGAGAAGGTGCCTTAGCAGAGGTGGCATGGCATGGCTAGAGAACTTCCCAATGTGCGCAGAAAGGAACACCACAGGCTTTCCTTCTCAGCAGTGGTGAGCAAGCAGCAATGGCCACCTTATTGAGAAGGCAGTGGCACAAGAAAAACAAATGGCTAAAAGTTGGGTCCCATTCAATCTCCATGACTCCCAATGCGTTGAGGAAGTTATTGGGCATTCTTCCAGAAGGAACAGGATGAGAGTCACTGATAGTCCGGATAATGTGCCCCTAGCTTTGTTTAACCTCCCCTCCATACCCTAAGTGTCTTCATGCTGGCTGACTGTTCCAGGACTTGTGGTCAGGATGGAAAGGCATCAGAATGAAACTCTCCTTGAGATATGAGCTGATAATGGAAGCTTCACCAGAGGACCACATGTCCCAGAAACCTTAGGGCTCCAGAGGCAAGGTTGATGCCCCTAGCAGTAACTGTCAACTCTAAGTAGCATGAAGGGCATGGAGTTTCCCTCTAAGGAACAGGAAAAAATGAGTTCCCACAGGAATACTTGGGCATTCTTCCTTGAGATGCGTGTTTGGATTGTGCCCATCCCTTTCCATTAAGAGTCCCTTGAAAAGGACAGTTGGACAGAAGGCTCCAGACCAAGTCTTTTTTAATGATCTACCCCCTGTCTCTCCTTGTTCTTCTGTAAGGCCACAGAGTGATTAGCAACATGGGTGGTCCTGGAAAGCTCCAGGGAGGGATGCCAGCTCTCAGATCTGTCTCTGACATTGTCAGCTGAGAGAGGAGCCCCTGGTGCAGCTCATTGGTTGCCTGGCAAAGGAAATAGCGCACTGCCCAGGCCTGTGCTTTACCCAGCTTCTGCATTGTGCTTCAAAGTCTCTGCCAGTGCTGTGAGGCCGCCACAGTGTGGGAGCGGCTGCCACAGTGAGGAAGCGGCCACCACAGTGTAGGAGCGACCTCCCTGGCTCTGTCTATGCTTCTAGGCCACTTTAGGACTCTAAGCTGCTTGGGACATGACAGCTGTCATGGCAGGTGCCCAATGGGTAGTGGGGGATATGGAGGAAGCTTGGGGGACTAATTACAGGGTTTGTACCCCAAATCAGTTCCTGAGAAAACCTGACAAAAGAATCATTTCAAGAGGCTGTAGGTGTTGCTGGTTTTCCTTACACTTGGGTGGAAGCTGCAGAGTAGGAGCTATAATCATTTCCAGTGTATGCCTGACCTTGATCTCCAGCTGCCTTTAGTCACTGGGACCAAATTTCAAAGTTTGGACCCAGCCCACCTCCACATGACCATCCCAGGTCCTATGATATCTTCCATTTCAGAACAACTTTAAAGACCCAATGTCTTTCCTGCTGGCCTAATAGATTGTTTCTGGGCAGGAACTGCACGACCTGCTGCTGTGGTGCGCTCATAGTGTCTGATGTGTGGCTTTGACTGCGTTACTTAACTACTCTGATTGCTCCACTGTAAGATGAAGCCCTGGAAATAAATGGTCCCCTAAGTCCCTTCCAATGTATTGCATAGAGACAGATACTGCCCAAGCTGCTCGTAGCAGCTGAGTTAATACAGACTTGTCATCCTGGAGGAGGATGTTATGTTGCTTTGTGGAAATGCAGATACTACCATTTGACTGTTGAACATCCGAAAGGCCAAGTAAAGGTTCTGCTTTCCTTCTGCCTCCTGGGAACTAGAGAGTGCTCCTAGCCTAGTAGGAAGGCCTTCAGGGAATTATGGGATCTCGGTTTCTCCCTTTATCCTTTTTGCTCTTTGACAATGAAGTGAATCCTTTGCTCTACCGCAGGCCACCCTCAATGATCTTCTAGTGAGCCCCAGAGAAGCACTAAGCCAGGCAGGAGTCTCTGGCAGTGTGCCCTGGGAGGGAGTTAATGCACTCCATGTTCTGCTGCACTGATGGAAAGTGACTTGACGCAGAAGACAATCTGGTTTACCCCAAAATATGAAGACATTAAATGTTTGCTATCTAATGCTCAACATTCTACTGTATTATCATCCATGTTCTTCGCTGTGTAGATGTCCTAACTCTGTAAGTAGAGTCTGACACAATTTAGATGAGAAAGCATACACAAAGAAATGAAATAACTGGCCCAAGCTCATAGAGTTTGACTGGCAGAGTTCAGTGGCATATGCCTTTTATGCCAGCACTTGAGAAGGTTTAGAAAACTTCGGAAATTGTGAGATAATAATTTCTAACCTCGGGTTCGTTTTTATACAAAACTTGGTTCCAGAAAGTTTCTAGAAGATGGAGCCAGCATGCCAGCTTCATAATCTTAACATTCAAACATGTCTCATTTTTTGTCTATTTTTAGTACCTTAGTCTCCTCTTTTGTCAAGAACACAGTCAGGCATGCCACACAGTCCATTAAATCTATTAGTTATGGCTGCACAGTCCCAAGCATATGCTTGGTTTTGGGTGTTTCTATGCTTTGCCTTTTAAGCTGGAAAGAATCATTTTTGCTCAAATGTGAACTCTTCTCTGTGAGAACAAAAACAGCTCAGGACAGAGGAAAATACAGCCAGGATACACACGCTCAATGGGATATGCACACAGGCGTGCCCATGCCGCGCCAAACATGCAAATATAGATATGCACACCCAGGTACACAATACACAAAGACACACACATGCGGGCTGGAGAAATGGCTCAGAGGTTAAGAGCACTGACTGCTCTTCCAGGGGTCCTGAGTTCAATTCCCAGCAACCACATGATGGCTCACAACCATCTACAATTTAATCTGGTGCCCTCTTCTGGCATGTAGGTAGAACACTGTATATGTAAAAAATAAATAAATCTTTAAAAAAAAAGACACACACATGCAAACATATAAGTACATATACACACAGACATACATGTACAGGCACATAGTTGTACACATACATAATCTCAGGCACACAAGGCATATACACACATGTACATACAGACACACATATACATGCTTGCACATACATTTATACACAAGCATATGCACACACATGCACAAACCTGCATATACCAAGACATGCATACACATATACACAAGCATACACCCATACACACAGTTACCACACACATATACCTGTACACACATGTACACACATACACCTGTACATAATGCACACACTACACATATATATACATACAACTATATACATGAACATTAAATAAACATATACACACATACATATATATATATACATGTCCACGTATAGCTGCATGTACTCATAGAGCCGCATAAACACATACATATGCATACACATACAGGCCCTTTCCTTCCTCATTTTGTTGCTATCTTTAAGCTCACTAACACAGAGACTGTAACAGCCTCCCTTCCTACTAAGAGTCATAAAGAAGAGCCAAACAAAAAGCTGAGGATTTGAAATGTCAGTGGAAACTACTGCTTCTTCAAAGAGCAATCAGTGGGTGATGTGGAAAGGAAACAGATGTATAACTCCCACAGTGCAGACATGTATTGATTAATGCATTCTTACTATTGAAGATGAGGGCTGAGGTAGGCCAAGGAGACTGCATTGTTGGGCAATGGCCTAATAGTTCTTAATCAGTGGGCTCAGAATTACTTAGATTTCATTTCTACTATCCTAGAGCCTGTGCTCTCAGAGTTTAAGCAACAATGACCCTAAAGACAATGTTCTTAACCAATATAGATCTTGTTTCCACTAAGATCAGGGTCAGCAGTTATCATAATAGCAACTTTACATGCTGCTGAGATGAAAATACCCAACAAAACCAACTTAAGAAAGACAGGACTTATCTCGCCTCATAGTCCAAGGCTTCAGTCCATCATAGCTGAGACAACATGGTGGCAGGAGCCTCAGGCAGCTGGTCTACTGTGTCCACAGTCAGGAAGGAGAGAGAAGGGAATATTTGTGCTCAGCTCACTTTTTCTGGGTTTCTAGATCCTGTTAAGTTGACAATAGGAATTCTCAGCATGGTCATCTTTGTTCATAAAAATTTGGCTACATCTGATGACTTTTTAGAGTTAGGGTCTTAAATCAGAAGGTGTGGATATTTGAGTTAATATTTTGTTGAATTTCTCCCTATATGGGTGGTATCTATTGATGAGAAGTGCAATTCCTTGCTACATGCTCTCTACAGCCTCCCTGGCAGCCAGTCATATTGCTTTGAGCCCTTAGCCTCAACTGCAGCAAGTAACTTGTATCCTCTGCATTTCCTGACTGTAAGAGGAGCCAGCTTCGACTTGTGTTCATGAGTATCAATCAGCCTTTGGTATTCAAGCCTCTATTTTAGCTTTATTTAGTTTGGGGTGAACCATTTTATTTCTAGACCATCACTTGGAGACTCATTTATTTCCCACTGTTTATCGAACGCCCATCCAATGTCAGGTATCCTGCCAGGTTCTGGGATTACATTGTTGAACAAAACAGTTTCAATTTGTGCTCCTTAGAATTTACAGCCCAGTGGAGATACAGACCCCCAACAAATAACAAGGAAAGAGAGAAGAGCCATGATACAGCAGCATGTAACAAGGGGGCCTTTTGTAATCTGAATGTAGGAGGAAGATTTCCCTGAAGGAGAGACTGAGATTAAAAAGATAATAAAAAGCAGTAAGATAAAGGGAGGAGGCCGGTAATACATGTACCTCGGCAGTGAGATAAGAGAAATGGCATCAATAGGTCTCCAGGCGTTTTATGGTGCATTTTTCTTGATGGCTATCTCAGAGCTCTTCATACTGGGGATATTCATCTTCAATGCTGTCTCTACAAACATCACTTCTCTGATTCTATATACTCAAAGGGATAGAGTTTTTCTTTGCACAAATTACAATGAATTGTTCATTGCCTCTTGTTCTGTAAACTTTGATGGACTCGTTTGTTTGTTTATTTATTTCTGGTACAAAGCAAGTTTATGACTCAGACATTTGTGTGACACTCATTGTGTTTTTATATTTTCTGTGTTCAGAGTATGTGTGCATTCATTTGCTTCCGAGTGTGTCTGAGTCTTCTGTCTGTCTGTCTGTCTGCCTATCTCCCCCCCCCCCCCGTGTGTGTGTGTGTGTGTGTGTGTGTGTGTGTGTGTGTGTGTGTGTGTGTGTGCTGACCAGAGGTCCATGTTAAGCATCATTTCTC